ATATGAGGTTCAACTGAGGAGTCCCTTGGGTTGTTCTTGTTATTCTTGCTGTCTTTGCTGTTGTTGAAAGCGTTTATTTTGCTTGATTGGTGAATTTCCCGGCAATTGTGAGGTTTTGGAAATAGTTTTTCTTTTTCAAGATTAGTTTGACAATATTAAGTTTGATAAAGACAAGCCTTGGACAATGATTTTTTAGACGAATGAACTTGAATAATGAGATTGCCAATGGATAATGAATTTAATTGTTTGTGTGTAAATTTAATAGAATTTAGGTACATTAATGAGGTCCTAATAGTATTGAATAAAAAAAATTCATTTTTTATGATTGAAATTTCTTGGAGACTAATAACTAAGAAAAACAAATTTTTAATAGAGTTCTGATTTTTCTAATTAGTTTTGAAGCGCTTGATACACACTTTCCATCAGTAGTGTATACTCCTGCTTGTTGTCGCTCCTTCTATTTACTTTGAAAAAAATAGAAGGGTTGAGGTCCCAATTAAGCGAGGGCGTTGATTAGGCAAACTATTTATTTTACCTAACTATTTATTATACCTAAATCAATCAATTATTTCTTGCTCTGTAATAAGAACGCAAAAGTAGATAGGGATGCCAATTTGAAGATGAGTTGGTGAACTATACAAGCCACCACGTTCCTATCTACCTATGAAATTTGCATACTCACTTGAGTATCCTTCAACTTACATCCTTTAGTTTTTACTAGTATCATTTATTTGCAATGTGGTGACTGGTATAACTTCAGAACACTCGCCCAAACTAGAAATCATTTATTTCTCAGTGTCTTGTTTAATTTATTTATTATTTACTATAATTATTTATGTTTCTTGGGTTTGCAACCCAAACTAGAAGGATTCCTTTCTAAAGACTTTTCACTTAAATTGTGTGCTTATTGAGGCTTTGACAAATTAATTCATGAGTAGTAGTAAAGTTTTCATGCCTTCATGATTTAGGTGAAATAGGGAGTTAGCGGAATTAGTTCAAATTCTACTGTTTGCTTAGTAAAGTGGATGGTTTTTCATTTATTCCTTGCATGTATTTTTCTGTTCTATATAGAGGTTGGTAATTTTGCTGCATTCTAATTAATTTGAGATATAGTTTGACAAAAAAAAAAATTAATTTGAGATATAGGCATACATTCATTCTTACATTGTTAACAGGTTTATGCCGCCGCGCACTAGATCCATTTCTAGAGGTTTGTTTCGGGGTATTTTGACTTTCACTTGCATGTATTTTTCTGGTAGCTTTTGCTAAGGACTAATTTTCACTTTAATTCACAGTCCGAAAACTCAAACTTCCTGTTTCTGTTACGACTGCTTGGTCCGAGTGTGGAGAGAACGATTTACAGCTTTGCATCACCAATTACTTCAAGGTATTATTGAATTCGTCTCTTTTCACAACCCTTTCACTAATATATTGAATTAACTATTTTGTATGTTCCGTTTTCATGGCTGCCGTGGTTGGAAATTGGTATTATTTGCATATGATTCAAGGGATTTACTTTAATATTTTGCTATATATCTGTTTTGGGGCTAAGATGCTATTCAATTTCTGTTTAGTGTCTGTAATAGTCAATTTTTGCTAATCCTTATTTGTCCTACATAAAGCGTAAAAAACCAATGGCCGGTATGGTTGGTTCATCGAGGCAAGGTCGAGCCCAATTTCCAATGGAGCGAGAGGTTGAATTTGCGGAGTACTTGGTTGAATTAAAACGGGCTAATAGAATTAACAAGGGCAACTTAAAGAGTGAGGTGTTCCCGGCAATTGTTGATAAATTTGCCAAAAAGGGATGCCACTTTGATATTTCTCAAATCAAGGCGAAGTATTATGCTTTACGCCATCAGACTCAAGAATACAATCGCATGCGAATGAGGGTGACTGGGGCCGGATGGGATCCCATCCTCCAGACTGTAACCATGGATGAAATCAAATGGCAAGATGTGATTAAGGTATTCCATTTAATTTTTTCTTTTCTATCACATAAGCTTATAAAGTATAAATAGAATTTTAGATATATCCTCTGTGTTAATTTTGGCTTTAAATGTGTAGGAGAATCCATCTTTTGAGACTTACCACAACAAAGATTGCCGTGTCTTCTACATATTGTCGGAGGTGTTTGACAAAATGGATGCCCAAGGCCGATACGCAAGGGACTCAAACCAACCACCAGTTGACATCAATGACGAGATAAGAGCGAGGCAAGGTCAAGCTTTCTCCAATATCAACCTCCAGGGTACGGAGCACGTGGACCTGACTGATGAAATGACGCCTCCTGTGCAGTCAACTGGGAAATCGGATGCCCAACATTCAAAAGGCAAAGGCAAAGGGAAAAGGAAGACTCCAGAATCTTCATCCGCCAAAGACGGCGACCTCCCGCCTGGTCTAAGTCGCACCTCATACAATAATGCCATATCTTGGATGGATGCGACGTTTGCTTCCGATCGGAGCACGTCCCAGAGTGTAGATGCCCCACCTCCCCCACCTGCTGCTACTACAGCTCCTCCTGTGCCGATTTACGTGGATGATGACCTGTACTCAATGGCAAAGGCACGTGCAGCCTTGGACGCAATTACAGGCTTGCCAGATAAAGTAGCTGTAAAAGCAGCTGTTAAGTTGGCTGATTCCGTAGATCATCGGATGATGTTTTTGACTCAGCCGAGTGAGGCTAGGAAGAGGTTGTATGCATTGACGATTGGGGGGGGGCCAACTAGATGATTGAGGCCTGCATGTGCCTAGGGGGGTTAAGCACTAGTTGGAAGGGCTTTCTTTGCATGCTTTAATGACTCTAGATTTGTATTTGTGATTGATGGATGCTGGTTTTCCCTGTTGGGAAACGAATTTGCACTTTGGTTGTTTCATTCATTTTAAAACTTATCATAATGTTTCACCATTTCTTTAATATTTGACTTTTCGAGTTGGCGAATAATAAATAGGAGTCTTTCTTTAATATTAGAGTTGGTTCTCTAATGATCAAATTCCTAGCTTGTTCCTCATTTGGCGCTTATGTATCACTTGTTATCAAGGTGCAGGTGTTTTGCCCAAACAGAGCGTAAATGGCTAGGGCTCCGCCAAATTTTGGAGTGAATTTGGATGATCCAGATGATGCAAGACAAGCCGCAACTGCTGTATTAATACTATCGTGGCACTTTCAAAGACATCAAGTTCCAAGGACAAGGCAGTTAGTCCATACATGCCCTTTCACAGGTCAGGGTTGGGTTGACGACTTGTTGGGGGGAAAGTGCATCAGGATGCTTAACAACATGCGCATGAATATGCCCACATTCATTCAACTCTGCCGGATATTGCGTGAAGGTGAATACATTATTGAGGGTCCCTGTGATAAAGTGACTTTAGAGGAAGGAGTGGCAATTGCTTTATATGGGCTGAGCCATGATTTGACACAAAGAGTGTTAGGTGAGCGATTTCAGCATTCCACTGAGACCATTCATCGACACGTGCGCCGCCTGTGCCAAGCTTTAGTTCGATTAGCACCTATTGCTATCCGACATAGGGATACGGATGCTACTCATCCTCGGATTCGGAATAATAGAAGGTTTTATCCCTGGTTTAAGGTAGATGCCCGCATCTTAAAACTAATAACTTTCGAAATGCAAGTTTAATTTATCATGTATTCAATATGTAGAATTGCATTGGGGCTATTGATGGAACACATGTCTCGGCAAGCGTGCCAAGGGGGGAACAGGATGCCTTTCGTAACAGAAAAGGCACGCTTTCACAAAATGTTTTAGCCGCATGTGACCACGATATGAGATTCGTTTATGTCAGAGCTGGTTGGGAAGGGAGTGCCCATGATAGTCGTGTCTTATTGGATGCTATTTCCAATCCGGATGCAGCATTTCCAACCCCACCGGCTGGAAAATATTATGCAGTTGATGCAGCGTATAGACACATGCCAGGATTCATGGCCCCTTTTAAGAGTGGACCAGGAGGAAGATCACAGACGGCACAGAAAGGATTATTTAATCGCCGCCATTCTTCGGTTCGGAATATAATAGAGAGGACGTTTGGGGTATGGAAAATGAGGTTCAAAATTCTGGATGGTCCTATGAAAAACTATCCCATTGAGGTACAGAGGAACATTGTAGTGGCGTGCTGCGTATTACACAATTTCATTAGAGAGATGCAGCCATACGACGTCTACTTACCGGATGAAATTAATATGGATGACGGAAGTACCGAGGGAGCTCAAATGCCACAATTACACGTCACTCCAGAAGCACTCCATGATTGGAAGGAATTACGAAATGCAATGGCTGATCACATGTACCTTCACCGAAATGAGTAGTATATAGTTGCCACGCTTGATTTCCACGGGCCCGAACTTGCTCTCAATTGTATAATATGACACTTTTTTTTTGAATATTTGGGATGAATATTTGGTACTGTAAAATTTAAGCCTTCTGGTCAATGTTGGGTTAACGGATACTGATAAGGGTTTATTTTACGTATTTTTAAATACATTTTATTAGTTAATTTAAGTACATTTTATTATACTCTTTACAATGTTTTGGTATTGTATATCATTTTGGTGTGATTATACATTTATATTATTTGTTTGAGTTATTTTGTTATTTTTCATTTGTACATATTGGACATGGAGGCAAAGATGACCAAATGAAGTGAAAAAGGCGAAGTTGGCTTCTGGGTGGAAAGCAACTTGGCTTCCGGGTTGACAAAAATGTAATCCTAATTTTGATACAGTAATATAGGTCACAATTTTTGGATAAAGGGAAAAAAAATTAGGGAGGGAAGTTAATATTTAACACCTAAAAAAAATTTTGTTAAAAAATTTTAAAAATCGCTACAATAAAATTTTTAGAAAACTTATACAGTAAAAAGTTTTTTCTACTACTTCTACAGTGATCTACAGTAAAGTTTTAGACAAACTCCCAAAAAACTCAGGTTCCAAACAGGCCCCTAAATCTATTGCTTCTACAAATATAATTGAAAATCGAACAAGCATCATGATTGTGAATCAGTGTTCCTCAGCTGTTGATGTTCAGCGTACTTCTCGATCTCATTCCAAACATCGCAGATCATCTCTGAAAAAAACTCAGCCAGGTCTATAGTTAATATTTTTAAGTTTTCTAATATCTGTTTTTAAACTAGCATTAAAATCAATTGAATGATTTGACTACTAAGTTCTCTAAAATAATTATATTTTAGGAAGAGGATGCAAAACAGGAAGAGCTTTGTTGGGTATAATTCCTGACAAAGCTGATATCCTACCACGCCAACTAGATTGTCCTCATTGTGGAGCGAAGAAGTTTTTTTCTGAGACAGCATATTTTTGTTGCCAAGATGGTGAAGTTATTTTAGCTCAAAATAAAATTCCAGATATCTTTAAAGAGCTATTGACTTCATCTTCACAAGAGGCACAATCTTTTAGAGCTCTTATTAGAACGTATAATAATCATTTTGGATTCACTTCCTTCGGTGTTAAAGCTGATCTGACTCTCTCAAAAAGGAATAAAGGAATTTACACTTTTAGAATTCAAGGACAAATATATCATTTTCTGAATGATTTCAATTCAACCAATGATCATAGTAATAATTTACAGTTATATTTCAATGATTTTGAAATTGAAGTAAGCAATCGATTAGCAGCTTGTCCTAGACTATCTGAAAGTGTGATTAGAAAAATTATGCAAGTTCTTGAGTCTAATCCATATGCAAAATTTTTTAGAAATTTGAGAGAGGTACCTAATTTAGATAACTACTACATTGTGTTAAAAACTCTGCCCGGTGTTGATCAAAGAGTTTATAATAGACCGACAACTTCACAAGTTGCTGGTTTGTGGGTTGAGGGGCAAGAGAATGGAGAAACCGGCAGGCGTGATATTAGAGTTCATACCCATAGTGGTGCTTCAAAAAATATACAGTACTATTATGGATGTTATGATCCACTCCAATATCCAATACTTTTTCCTTTTGGTGATCTTGGCTGGCACCAAGGAATACCAAAGAAAGGAGCAAAAGTATATGGAAGAAAGAGGAAAAAAAAACAACCTGTAGCAGATTTGATTTCCCCTACAAATGCTGCTACAGCAGAACAATTAATCCAAAATGAAGAACATGGTTAGTATAATAAATATATGCCAGGATCTTTCATTTTACCTATTTAATATTTATGATTACACATTTAATAATGTACTATTATTTTTTCCACAGCAATGGAAAACATACATGAAGATCCAAATTTTGTGTCCCTTCGAGAATACTATTGTTATAAACTTCAGATTAGGGACAATGATGAATCTTGGCTATTACATTTTGCTCGCCTCCTACAACAATATATTGTTGATCAATATGTGAAGCTTGAGACACAAAGACTTGACTTCTATAGATTACAACAAGAGGAAATTAGGAGAGAGTTCTTGAAAGGCATAATAGATGCTTTAGGATCAGGTGAGAGTCAAGCATCTAATGTTGGCCAACGTATCATATTACCGCCATCATTTATTGGAGGGCCGAGAAATATGAGACGTAAATACATGGATGCAATGACATTAGTACAGAAGTATGGTAAACCGGATATATTTCTGACCATGACTTGCAATCCTAATTGGCCAGAAATAAAAGAACACTTAATAGACAAAGAAGAGGCACAAAACAGACCAGATTTGCTTGCTAGAGTATTTCATGCTAAGTTAGAACAGCTTAGAGATGAACTTTTGAAAAAATGCATCTTCGGTGAAGTGGCAGCTTACACTTATGTCATTGAATACCAAAAACGTGGACTGCCACATGCATATTTCTTGCTAATTTTAAAGTCAAAATTCAAGATGTATACCCCTGAAGAATATGATAAAATTGTTTGTGCCGAGATACCAAATAAAGAGAAAAATGAACATCTATATAATTTGGTCATTAAACATATGCTTCATGGACCATGTGGTTCACTTGATCCAACAAATGTATGCATGAGAAAAAATGGAACTTGCAAGAATAATTTTCCTAAAAATTTCTGTGAGGAAACTATCCAAACTCTTAATGCATATCCTGAATATCGAAGGAGAGATGATGGAGTTCAAATTAAGATTAAATCAACTCTTTTAGATAACAGATGGGTTGTACCATACAATCCATATCTTTTGGCTAAATTTGATTGTCATCTTAATGTTGAAATATGCTCTACAATTAAAGCAGTCAAATACATTTACAAGTATATCTATAAAGGTCATGATAGAACTAGCTTCTCTGTAGTGAATAATAAATCTGATTCAGAAATTGATGAAATTAAACAATATGTATCAGCTAGGTGGGTTCTCCACCTGAGGCAGCATGGAGAATTTTTAGATTCTGTATGAGTGAAATAAAGCCACCTATTATTCATTTACAATTACATTTGGAGAATTATCAGCCAATGAGTTTCAAAAAAACAGCTAATCTTCAAAATGTTGTCGATAACTATCATTTGAAAAAAACAATGCTCACTGAATTTTTTTACATGAATAGGACAGATAAAGCAGCTCAGGATCTAAATTGTACTTATGTAGAATTTCCTGATCATTTTGTCTGGTTACCTAAGCAAAAATACTGGAAATTGAGAGAAAGAGGTGAATCAATAGGTCGAATAATGACTGCTCATCCTTCCGAAGGAGAACGATACTACTTGAGATTACTCTTATCAAAGGTTAGATGTCCAATTTCATTTGATGACCTAAGAACCTTTAATGGAGTTCAAGTAGAAACGTTCCAACAAGCAGCATTAATTCGAGGCTTGTTACAAAATGATAACAGCCAAGAAATTTGTTTACAAGAAGCCTCACTTTTTCATATGCCCTATGAAATGAGGAGACTCTTTGCAACACTTTTGGTTTATTCTTGCCCTAATGACCCAAAGGCATTGTGGCAAAATTTTGAATCTTCTATGTCAGAAGATTTTGCCAAATGTTCAGCAATGACATCTACACAAGTGAAAAGAAATGTTTTGCAACAAATTGATGAATTTTTGCAATCGATGGGAAAAAGTATACATTCGTATAATTTGATTCCCATTGGATTCTCTTATGAAAATATAGACAATGAAACTCGAGAATTAAGAGCAGAAAGAAACATTGTCATTTCAGATATTGACTTAAATTCAATTGAGCTACTAAATGAAAAACAGAAAAAAGCATTCGTAGTCATATCTGAGAGAATTTACTCAGATAGACCTGGTGTTTTTTTCATTGACGGTCCAGGTGGTACTGGAAAAACATTTCTCTATAGAGCTTTGTTAGCTGATGTTAGATCTAAAGGCTATCTTGCTCTTGCTACAGCTACATCAGGAATTGCAGCTTCCATTTTACCAGGTGGAAGGACTGCACATTCCAGATTTAAAATTCCAATAGATATCTTTGATGGTGCAACATGTCGGGTCAGTAAACAAACTTCTTTAGCTGCAATGATCAAAGAAGCAAAACTCATAATCTGGGATGAAGCACCAATGGCTAAAAAGGCAGCAATTGAAGCTTTAGATGATCTCTTAAGAGATTTAATGAATTCAGAAGAAATATTTGGGGGAAAGGTAGTTGTACTTGGTGGAGATTTTAGACAAACATTGCCAGTTGTTAGAAAAGGAACAAAAGCTGAAATGATAAATGCATGTTTGATAAATTCTCCATTATGGCACAAATTAGAGAAATTGCAATTAATAGAGAACATGAGAGCAAAATTAGATCCTTCATTCACGCAGTTTCTTTTAAGAATTGGAGGTGGGACACAAGAAACAAATGAAAATGACATAGTAAAACTTCCATCTTCAATTATAGTTAACTATAATAATGAGACTGATGCAATTGAAAAGCTAATCAATATTGCGTATCCTGAATTTAAAGATCCTTCAAACAAACTGTATTGCTCACAAAATAGAGCAATTCTAACTACAAAGAATAACTTTGTAGATGAAATAAATGATCAATTGATCAAAAAAATTCCAGGAGATTTGACTGAGTACCTAAGCTATGATGAAACACTGAATGAAAATCATCAATCTGAATATATTGATCTTTTGAATACTCTTACGCCAAGCAATTTACCTCCACATAGGTTACTCTTAAAATCCAATGCCCCAATAATTCTTTTAAGAAATCTTGATCCTGCTGAAGGATTATGCAATGGAACTAGACTGATAATAAAGAGTTTGAGCAAGAATGTTATTTGTGCTAAAATTGCAGTTGGTGATTTTTGTGGCAAAGAAGTTTTTATACATAGAATTTCCTTGCAGCCACCAAGTGATGAACAATATCCAGTTCCATATAAGAGAACACAATTTCCAATTCGTTTGTGCTTTGCAATGACAATAAATAAAGCACAAGGCCAAACTTTAGATTTTGTTGGTATTTATTTGAAAGAACCTGTGTTTTCACATGGCCAATTATATGTTGCACTTTCAAGAGCCAAAACAGCTTCGGCTGTAAAAGTACTTATTAGGCCAGCTTATTTTGATGAATCATGCACTGATCATACTAAAAATATAGTATATAAAGAAGTTCTCGAAGCTTCCCAGATTGCATTATCAGGTTTTAATATTCATGCCCTTTTTTTCAACTTTATTATTTTGTTTAATTCACTATCTAATTTCTCTACAAATACAGCCCATCATGCCTAGACATATATCTTCCGTACTAAACATTCAGAAAGGAGCAGAAAAGTGGACTGTTCTGGCACAAGTTGTTCACAGAGGCCACAGTCAATTAACTCGTGAAGTTCCACCTAGGCGAATTATGCGTTTTCTGCTCACAGATACTGAGGTCAGCAATTCTTTCCTATCTCTCTGGTCATTAATTAAATTCATAGATGAGAACATTTTAGATTCTGTAAACGAACATTTTATGATTTGCCTCTTCATTACCACATGGTTGAAAACTTGCTGAAGCTGAGAATAAGGATGATTAGCACCACTTTTGACATAGTAATCAGTGAATTTAGAACTCTGACATCTTACTTATATCAACCTGCTCCTGAAGGGAATCTTGCTGTTCATTAAGTTTTTCTATCCAGCTAGCAAGTAGGCTTTGTTGGTCCAGAAGAAAAAGAAGAATGTTCTCAATCTGTGACATCAAAAAAAAAAAAGAGTATCTGGTCAAGAGTAGCTCCTGCTCCATGAACTTCCTTCGAACCCCCCCCAAAAAAAAACCCAATAACATGGGAATAACCTTCTTATCAGCATATTTAGATACATGTTTGTTATCAAGTGTTGGTTACCTTATACTGAAGTTATTCTAGCATTACAAACCTTTGTTATGAGCATATCACAAACATATACATATGCAATTCCAGTTTACCCTGTTATATTATAGCTTATTACATCTCACAAAAAACACACACACTAAACAGATAATGAAATTGTAAAAGCTTAAGGGGAGGAAAAATTGCATATTTCTGCTGGTCATCAAGACAGGCTGTACCAGACAGCATGTGGGAGTATAATATGTTAATTATCTAAATTTGCATAGGACTAATGAACTGGAACAATTGACATACTTATGGCAGTTAACCTTTTCATCTATACGAACCATAGTTTCATCTACTGATATCAGAACTATAGTTTGATTACAAGTGAATACTCGCCTAACTATTAAAGTATTCATTCCTATAATTTTAATTTCTGTGTCATAAATATAATGTTAGCCAAAAACATTATAGTTATAGCTATAACTCATAATATATATATAACTAACTTTTCCTAATCCTAATCAGGGAACAAAAGTTTCTGTTGTGACTTATGAACAACACATCAAGACCTTCAGCAAATTTCTGCAGCCTTATCAACGATATTATGTTTCTAATGCAATTGTGGTTCCTGCTGACCCAACATACAGAGTTGGGACTTATGAATGCTCCTGGATTTTGAACTACAAGACTTTGATTGAAAATTATGCTGAACCTGTGCCACCTATGTTGCCTTGCATATTTGAGCTGACAAACTTCTCTGATCTGCACAAATATGCTGATTCAGATAACCTTTGCAGTAATTTTTGTTACATTATTTTTTAATTTACTTGACAGTCATTTGACATTTTATTGATTTCTTACATTCATATCAACACTTTTGTTTCAGATATTAGAGGCTTTGTCATTCACGCATTCCCAATAAAGCAGCTAGATCCAGATTCTATTTCTAGAGACATTATAATAGTGAATGAAGAGTAATCAAACCTGAATACTACTATTTTATTAACTCATTTTAGATTAATTGCAGTAGTTATAATTTATTTGTTATACCTGACAGGAAGAAACTCATGCTTATGACTATCTGGAATGAATTTGAACATGATGAAGGGAGCAAAATAGCAGACATGATTAGCACTGCCCCTCTAATCATAGCTCTCCGTGTTAAAGTGACCACATTCAATAGTAATTTTTTCATTATGCATTATGATTTTTTTATTGTGTGTCTTTTAAGTACTTAATGTTATAATTACTAAACCATTTCATCATTTTTACAGCTTTGTCATTCACTACAAGGTATTCATCTGGAATTCTGATCAGTCCTCCACTCCCAGATGAGCTATCTTTGAGGCAATGGTAAGTATAATTTTCTTTTTAGTTTTTTCCATAAATTATCAACTTATTTTACTGATAAATTTTGTATTTGTGCTCTGAACATAATCATTCAGGTTCAGCTTGAACAAGGAAGAAATCAGGAATTTGCTTGATGCTAAAACATACAATGATGCAAACTATTTACTTCCTCCTCCAAATGAAGAAGATATCAAAGCAATCAACAATTTTCAGGCATCATTTCCAGTTGTAAGTACTATATTGTTATTCTACAATTTTGCTTAAATATAACTATTTATTATCTAATTCACATTCAAATACCATTCACGGTTGCCTGCCTCAGCAAAAGGCAGCTTGGGTGCAAGGAACTGTCAAACTTGCATATGGATTCAGCAAATATTGGACTACAGCTTGTGCGAATTGTCACAAAATTGTGAATGCTGACATTGACTGGATCATCCACTGTCCTTCATGCAAACAGCAAACTGAAGTTGAACTCAGGTTAGATCATTAACTTATGCTTCTAAATTAAATATTATTCGCATTTGTTGCCATATATTAAACTTAATTCCTCCACTCAATTAAAGGGCTCGCATTCCAATTATTATAATTGATGCTTCGAGCTCAATACACTGCATTATATCTGGAGAAGATGCTGAAAATTTGATTGAGTTCACTCCATTGCAGCTTAAACAAGCACAAGAAGATGTAAGTATGAATTTTCTGTCTTATATTCAGGCATAAATACAGATATACATAGAAAGGAATTCACTGAACCTAACTAAAAAATTTTTCTGGTGCAGGGCTTTCAAATAGATACTGAACTTAATGATGCTTTGAAAAAGTACACAGTGGTCTGTTTTCTGAAATCCTATGAGACTCCTTTCCAAGGTCAGCTGCAGAGAAAGAATACTGTCATCAAAGCTTATACTGCAGCTAAACTATCAGACCGTCCCCTTCCTCTAGAACTTCCAGAAAACACTCAAGTTTTTTCTGAACTTGGCAGTTCATCAGCAAGGCATGCAGAAACATCATCAAAGGATCAATTGTTCACACCAAGCACAAAGTTGGTACTTGAAGAAATTGCTGGAGCCAGTTCTTACAAAGACAGCCAGACATCTGCAACCAGTGGAGCAAAAAGAAGCCTTGAATTTCCAGAAGATTTACCAGCAGACACAGATCCTAAACAACCAACAAAGGCTGCTGAAGAGTTTGCCAAAGAACCTGCAAAATCGTATGGTCCACCTGCAAATATCAAAGACAGTCCAGCCAAGAAACCTAAAGCAAAGGAAGACTGATATGCCTGATTTCTGCACTTTTGTTATATCTTTTGTTCATTGCCTTGATGACTATCTTGATTGCTTAGACAATGCCTTTTGAATTATATTATGATCCATTATTCTTTTGACTTAGAAAGTAATGGATCCTAATATATCTATGAATGGTTTAACCATCAATGTTGTAACTCAATAGGCAATGAAGCCTATTAAAACCCCCTAATATGTAACTGTGGGTTGAACTGAAGTGTGTGTTTTGCTAAGACATGAATGTTTGAGTTTATGTAATCTATGGTTGTGATTTGCATATTCATTGTTTACCTCTTCATTTTTCAGTTGGTCATATCATATATATACATATATGGTCCTGATTGCCCAGCTGTGATTAAGTTGTTTGATCATATCAGTGGGTATTGCACGGCCAGAATCATGCTAGTAATAGATAGATATAGCTTGTACTTCTATTACTACGCCGACAAAGTTTCGTACTAACACTGGGGCCTTTTGAATCGACCTATATCTTATCCCAAGACTCCACTCCTCTGGTAAGCATATTAGCTAATTATTGAGTTCTCTATTTCGTTTGATCTCAAGACCTCCCCTTTTTACTTCTGATAGGTTGCAATTGTCAAATTCTACTCACTTTTGAAAATTTGTATTTATTACAGGGAGTGAAACACAAATACCATAAAAAAGTGCCAATTTGACGGTTATCAGGGAAGAGTATTTGCAGCAGTCAACAAAGAGAGAATAAGTCAACTCTGCTTTATTACTCCAGGAACACTTTTGAAATATTGAAACTTTTCCCCTTGTTGATAATTGCCGAAGAGAGCGAAGAGGACAGAGGACTGGAGTCTTTCTTTTCTCCTCTGAAGCGCTGCAAGACCAGCAATTAAATAGAAAATAGGAGTAGACAATTGGAACTACTTTTAGTTGAGTTTTTTGACTTTTCTTTTTCGTCCTCTAGTAGTTCTCTCCCTGCGTATGTCAGGGACAATTGGAAGACTTAATCGTTCTCCGTAGCTTTGTTATTCTTTCATTATTCGAACGAACTGAGTTTTCTCAATCGAAGACAATGGTCGTATCTGTTTCTTCAACTTTATGTGGACTTTTCTCATTAAGAATGAACTAAATCCCTTTTTCTAGTCAAGGAACGATGGAGACTTTGGTGCATCTAAAAATTCATGACTTAACATCAAGTTGGCTTCATGATGTGATTATGAGGTTAAGCAGAAAATGCACTGGTTTCAAATCTGGCTCATATTCTCGCTGGCTGGACTGTTATGCTTTTCACATATGTAGTGGTGCAGAGCATTCAATCCATCAGCCTCGATGGAGAAACCAATGAAGATATTGATCCACAAGTGCCTCCAAAAACGATATCAGTGGAAAAGTTACCACTAAAACCCAAAATTTATCCTAAACTTTGTAGATTGGTTCAATGTACCCTAGTCCCAGAACAAATCTATCCAACCAAGTTTTAGGTTTTGGTGGCAACTTTTTCACCGATATCGTCTTTGGAGGCACTTGTGCCTCAACATCTTCATTGATTTTCCCATTGAGATTGATGAATTGAATGCTCTGCACCACTACATATGTGAAAAGCATAAATAGTCCAGCCAATGAGAATATGAGTAAGACTTGAAACCAGTGCATCTTCTGCCTAACCTCATAATCATGTCATGAAGCCAACTTGAGGTTAAGCCATGAATTTTTAGATGCACCAAAACCTCCATCGTTCCTTGACTAGAAAAAGGGATTTAGTTTATCTTTGATGAGAAAAACCCACATAAAGTTGAAGAAACAGACACAGCCATTGTTTTCGATTGAAAAATTCAATTCGTTCGAATAATGAAAGAATAACAAAACTACGAGAATGATTAAGTCTTCCAATTGCCCCTGACATACACAGGGAGAGAACTATTAGAGGAAGAAAAATAAAAATAAAAAACCTAAACCAAAAGTAGTCCCAATTGTTTGCTCCTATTTCCTATCTAATTCCTGCTCTTGCAGCATTTCAGAGGAGAAAAGGAAGACTCCAGTCCTCTCTCCTCTTCGCTCTCTTCGGCAATTATAAAAAAGGGAAAAAGTTTCAATATTCCAAAAGTGCCCCTGGAGTAATGAAGCAGAGTTGACTTATTCTCCCTTTGTTGACTGCTACCAATACTCTTCCCTGATAATCGTCAAATTGACACATTTTTATGGTATTTGTGTTCTACTCAAGATAATAGAGGAAATTAATTATAAAATAAATGATAAAATTATAACCTGTCAATTCCTCCCACACCTAAACCATACTTGTTCTCAAGCATGAGAACAGCAACCAAACACCAATATTTGACAATGGCTATTACTCCATCTACCTTATTGCCAATATACCTAGAAAAAAACATATCAAGCATCAATGGTCAAGATCCAAGAAACACCATCCCTATTAGTTTCTAAACCACAAACTTCTCCAATTTAAGGTTAATTAATCTAAGGAAAAGGAATAGTCGCTCAACATTCATCAGCAAATGGTCTAACTATTAACCAAAATCTCAACATTAAATTCACAAATCGACAAGCTGACTTTTATCACCTACTGACACAACCTTCACCTTTTTATCACACTTTTCTATTTTTCTCTTTTGTTTCAATAGTAATAAAAGACTTAGTCTCTAACCATTAGAGTCTTTTGACGCGAACTCCAACATTTGTCAGATGAAAGAGTCCGGTTACTCAACTCCTATCGCTACGCGACCACGTACTCATAGCAATTACTACTTTTTGACGCGAGAATCGACACTTTTGGTGAAAATCTTCGGTTACTCAGTAGTAACAACTAACGGAGTACAGTCAACTTTTATTTACAGCTAGATAACACAAAAGCTCAAAACAAGAATAGCAGCAACTAGCCTTATTTCTTCAAACATGAAAAACTAAAGTTAATAACTGAACCAATTCACATGAAAATACGAACAATCATTTCCTATGCCTAGAAAAGTTAACCAAAAATTATAAGAGTCAAACAATCACCGATATTCACTAAAAAGATGTTCTTGGACTCAACCACATTAGCTTGATACACTTTTATTACTAAAATTTGACAATAGCAGAATTAGAGTCAACAACCATCATCAAACCTTGGTAGTCACAAAAGTGTTGATCACTAATGAAAGTAAAAAGAAAAATAGAACAAATAACAAGAAATAAAGGAAAAACATCTAAAAACTAAAAAGTAGAAATACTAGCTATACCATAACTCTCCCCCACACCTAAATCCGACATTGTCCTCAATGGAGATCATAAAGCAAAGAAAGCAAACGGAACAGCGAAACTTCCCTGAATATGTGGTGGAGGGTCTCGAGCGGCTATGGAATAGGTGAGAAC